AAATGCAATTTTGTAGAAAATATAAATTTTTAACTATTAAATTTGTATGGTAAATCGAAAAAAATTTTTCAAGAGTCGGAGTTAGTCATTTGCTCGATTTTGACTTCAGTAGGTAGAAAGGAATACAATTTCTTTTTTTCTAAAAAAACATCAAGATAATAAAATATTTTGCATACATAAAAAAAAACTCCCTTTAAAATGCTACTAGACATTAAAACTCGGTTGGCATAGAGCTTAATGATAAATATCGGTAGTTTTAAGGATAACATTTGTGAATTGTGGTCAAATTTACACGAAATTTTCTCTCAAAATTTCGTTAAATTTATGAGTACATTAATTTTACAGTTCATTCAGGAAGTAACAAGGGATATTATAAACTAAAGTTAATCAAAAAATATATATGTATTTTACCTACGTTAGTGTCTGAAAGGTATCCAAAATTTGGCATTAATTATATATATATATTTTTTTTAATTTTAAATAATAACATCTCTAAGTCTAATATGTTTCTTTAATGCATTCCCCTCTTGATTTAATTAATTAAAAATTCTTACTAATGAAAATTGTCAAGTTATATTGAGCTATCACGGTCCCTCGTACTAGTGGAAGTGAATTATTAATCAGTTTTTCTTTTCATAAAATTTAAACAAATAATTCCCGAATTAGTTGAAGTATGCTCGTTCTGCTTTTTAAAAAAAATCGTGTCAGTATTTATATTACTATAAACAAATACAATTATGAAATATTTAAGACTGCTAAAGGTATATGCAGGGTGTCTACGCACCTGGAAAGTCATGAATTTCGGTATTGAGCAAAATTTGTCATGATTTTAACTATTTTTTAGAAAAAATCATGGATTTAGGTCGCCGAAGCATCTAATTTTTAAAATGGAATTTACCCCCCCCCCATTTTATTGAATTCCGAATATCTGAATTTGTAACAATATCCCCACTCACAGTCATATTTTATTAAAATATAAAATGTTTTTATCATGTTCTTTAAAAATTACGGTGTTCTTTCAAAAAATGAAAGAAAAAACATCATTTCCAGAGCGAATTATCTTTTAAACTTCTGTGATTTCAGAATTTTTGTTATAATTTTTTATTTTAACAATTTAAAATTCTATCTTAAGCAAGCCAGTCAGTTTTTTTATTCCGAGATGAGAACAGAAAAATCAGGAGCATTTCTTTCCTTTCTGATAAACAAGAAAAGTATCTTTAGAATATAATTCTTTAGGAAAACAGGAAAAAAAATTATTTGCTTTTGTATTTTTTTCAGCTATTTTATTGCTTCAACTCTTTCTTTACACTGTTTTTTAAATTTAGAATCTATAAATATGGAGATGCAGAGTATAACAGTTTTGGTTATACCTATCATTTCAATTAATGTTATTATAACGTAAACCGGGGCGAGTCTACCCATTTCAGTTTTATTTAATTTTCACTATTTTAAATTGCAAATAAAAAAAATTTTACCGACGGAGGAATAAGTTCAGACTCTAAGGGAGATGGCGCTGTAGTAGTTTGATCCGTTTTTATTTATTTGGTGTCTTTTTAACCGACCTGTTCAAACGTCTTTTGAGAGATTTGTATTGAAAATCAGCAAACTTTTAGTTGGTGNTGTATATATGCCCCCTTAAGTAAATCAAATAAAAACTATTTTTATTCAATCAACGAGAAATGATAGCATATCATCACGCATTACCATATTTTATTGCTATCACAAACTTTTCTTCAGTTCTTTCTTCAAAACAAACTTCTGCTGAATAAACATGTGAATATTTAATTAAAGTGAACGAAATGAATAATGCTGATATTTGAATTTGATAGACAAGTAAACGTTAGCTTTATCTTTGCAATTCGTTTTTATAGTGTTTAAGGTTCATAAAACTTATGAGGAATGCAAAATGAGCTTATATTTTTACTACTTTTTTATTAACTAATAATATTTTAGTCTGTATTCTTTTGGTATTATAAAATATTTGAAATACAGAAATTTGTTAAATGTTTCTTTGAAGCTTATTTGCAGGAGTAAGATGTTTATGAAAAAAAATCACTTTTACATCTTTGTTTTTTTTCTCCCTTTATACGTCATTGTTAATTGTTTTTTTTTTTTTTTTAATTTTTATTTCCTTTCTAAAACAATTTTATAAATTGTAATTTTTTTTTTTTTCATTTTAAGAGCGTTTTTTTTTTGCGAAATAAGATTCTTAGTTTTTGAAAATTAGTGTAAAGGTCGCTTTGAATCTTGTTATTTCAAATATCCAATAGCAAGTTTTGATTTTGAGCAGCTTTATAATACATAAGAAATTGCTTTTGAACAAAACGCATTCTTACAATTTTAAGAATGTAAAAAAAATATAGAAATATAATGCAATTTTGATGTTCTTGAAGATACTAACTAAAAATAAATAAATTCATATTTTTGAAATAAAATAAATAATTTATTATTAATAAGTAAATTTTTATTTATTTTTATCAAGCATTCATTACTTTGTTTATTCAAAAAGTTACGTATTTATTTTAATTATTACCTTATGTATCATTCCAATTTTTAAAAATACGACGATACGTTTTATAATTTTTGTAAAAATTTATTTGAAACCAGCTTCTAAGAAGTTTTAAAAGCATTATTTTTCATTTTTAGGACATTTCGGAAGATTTTTACAAGTATTTTTTTTAAAGAATTTTAAGGTGATCAACAATATAATTTTCCATATTTGTTTCGAACATTTTCCACACTGTTCATTTTCATTAGAATCTTAACATTTTAGAATTATTAAATAACAAATGAGACGGCTTAATATTGCTTTAAACAAAAAATAAATTTTATGAACTTCTATTTATAACCGAAAATGAATACAATATTTGAGAGATATTTCTGCTCTAATATTCGTAAAAGAATGTGAAGTAATTTTTTGCTGAATTTTTATCTAAAAATAACCCAAATTTGTCGAAATTAAACTTAAATATGAGTCTGTCATAGTTACCAGAGAAAAGAACGAAACTTTCTACACTTGTAGATCAATCACGTAGATTTATTTCGTTTTTTTTTTTTTTTTTTAAATTAGCAATAAAATAAGCTCAAATTCACGCGCAGATCATCGGGCTGCCAAAGGGGTAGAGCCATCCCCTCTGCATAGGTTCAAAATTGTGTTGGCATTTCTTCGAATCATTCTAAGTAATATTTTCCAAACCGTCGCCAATAGCCCATCTTGCAGCGCTTGTGTGAAATGAATAAAGTATCGTTACTGTCTTAGAAACTTGCAATTACGAAAGTGTGTTAAAAAATGTATAGGGACTATAAGGAAAAAAAGGAAATTAATATTCGATAATTAGTTTAGAAATATCTACTATTAAATTTGTTCTAAAAAATATCATGTGGGCCACTCTACAAACTACCAAAATGCAACTATACTGAAATTTGACGTGTAAAAAGAGCCATTTTTGCTTATGAACTTAACACAAGGTTTTTTGTAGTTTTTTTATTGAAATTATTATTTTGGATAAAAGAAAGCTCAATGAAATATTTTTGTAATGAAAACTAATTCGATAAAAATGTACTTCATGCACATCTATTACAAAAACATGTATAAATCCTATAGGGGAGTGTCGGGTACCCCCGCCCACTGTCAATTTCATATGTATAGAATATTTTTTCAAGTCAATGGGCCATCGGACATTAATTGTTATATTAAAAAAGATTATTTTCAAAGTTTCAAGTATTTATGCAGCTGGTAACATGGTAAACAATAGTTTTGAAAATATGTTGAATACAGTAGTCATGAAATTAAGAAAAATTGGTTGAATGTTTCGATTAAACTTCATTTTAATACTAAAAAAATAATTTTTTCTATACATACAGCATTAAAGTATGTAGTCTTAAGTTTAATTTGCACAAAGAAAGAAGTTTGTATGTAAAAAATTGTTCGAGTAATTACAAATTTACAAAAAAATTGGATTTCGGGTAGCCCCGCTCACATGAATGTCGGGTATCACCGCCCAATTTTATTTCGTCGATAAATGTACGGTTGCAAAGATTATTATTTTATTGCTTCAAATTTGAATGTTATATGCATTTTTAACAACAAATATTGTTGTTATTAAATGATTGTTATTAAATGATAGAATTCACTAAAAGTATATAAATATGTAATAAATAAAATAATTTTGTGATAAAAATGATAAATGAGGTTTATCTATTGTCAATACATTGGTCATTTTCATTTACACCTGAAAAAACAGTCAAAAAACATAATTTTTGTAACTGGGCGGGGCTACCCGACACATTTTGAAAAGAGCTGAAAAACATGTTTTTTTAAATTTCTATTTTTTTAAGTTAAACTATTCTTTTTTTGGTTTATTCTTTTTGCATTATTTAATTAGATGATAAAACAATAGAAACATACAAAAATATTGATTATTACTCAATATTATACAGAAATATAAGCAATACTCCTTAAGTGGGCCGGGCTACCCGACTCTCCCCTAAGTATGGTTCAAAGTAAAATATAGAACTAACGATTTTTTATGCTATCATATGGTGTTTTTTATGCTATTATATGGTGTTTTTTCTGTTTTTTTCTTTCTATTGAAATTAATATTTAGTATAAAAGAAAATTTATTGAAATGTTTTGTAATGACAATTAATTCTAGAAAAAAGTGATACATGCAAATCTATTACAAAAGCATCTATAAATAGCATTATTCGCAGTAAAATTTAAAACTAAATAATGTTTTATATAATCATGTAATGGTTTTTCCTATAGTTTTTTTTATTAAAATTATTATTTTGGATGTAAGAAAACTTATTGAAATATTTTGAAAAGAAACTAATTCTAGGATTAAAAATCACGTGCATATCTAATTACACCAGTAAAGCGGAAAAAATGTCTAGTCATTAATGATTTTTTCTAGCATTATCAGCTTTAAAATGTCTCAGAGAAGCGCTTTAATATCGACATTCAAACGAAATTGCCCAAACAAGAGTAGCGCTGCCGACAAGTCACGTGATCCTTTATCGAACGGTTACTTTTACCGTTCTCCCTGACGCAGCTCCAAATATTCCGCTATTCGAATGTTCTAAAGCACTTGCTTTATTATTTCTCCTAAAATTTATGCTTGTTCCTCTTTGCTCTCTGCGCTCTCAGTTTTGTATTATCAACGATATTTGAACTTTAAAAATAATAGTCTGCTTTTCCTTTAAACTTTCAGATTGTTCCACATTCGAAAAGTGTTCGATTCGACAAATGTTTTTTCTCGGAAATCAATGAACTGGATTGCTCCTGAAACATGATGGTGATAGGTGACGAAGCATATTGTTAGTTTATTCAGTTTTTTCTTTTTAAAGTTTGAATAGAGTTTGCTTTAATGATGGATGAGAAAATATTAAATACCATTTCAAAATCAATTGGTTTTGAACAAGTTCGGACTAAATTATTTCACCGCATTCGTCTCTTTAAATTCACTTGACTAGCCATATTATATTGAAAGAAGACAATCAGTTTTTTTCCAAAGCTATTTTAATTTAATTATCTTTGTTAAAATTACCTCGAATTTTGTTAAAAAATATACATTGATTAAAGAGAACAAATTTCTGACTTGGAACTTGGCAGAAATTTTTTTTTGTTTACTTTCTTTTTTAATTTTTTTTTTAATTGTTAAAATTATTTTTAGATTCTAGAGCGAATTTAATTTAAATATTTGAAAAATTTAAGAGTGCAGGATTTACTTTTTAAAATTTAATTCACTTATTTTTATTTTCTATGTTAAAAGTAATTTCTTTGCATTTATGATGTTCAAATCGTTGAAAATTTGCCATTTTGTGAATCTTCGAAGAGATGCAAAGATCAAACCAAACTCTCTTTGAAAAGAAAAAGTTTGCTTAAAGAGAATTTTGCGATGGAGAAGATATCCCTTCAAAAAATGGACAGTGATTCAACTCCAGACAGTGGTGTCAAGCCTGGCCTTAATGGAGAACTGAGTTTTAATTTTGAAGCAAGTTCCAAAGATCGAGCTTTAATATATGAAGGCCCCAAAGATTATCGAACTCTCTTTTGGGAACACAAACACACAACTATCACTCTATGTTTTGTGTTCTGGTCTTTTGGAACGTGTGTAGCTTTCTTAGGTCCCACTTTGCTAGATTTAGGCTGCAAAACTGGAACGGTATTTTCAACCATGTCTTTTGTGTTCTTCAGCCAATCTTTATTTATTTTGCTGGGCTCTGCTTGTGCTGGATTCATGCTGAAGAGGTGAGTTTATTTCTAACACTATCCTGTTCAGCAATGCATAAGTTACTGTCTAAGTGGTTATACATTTAAATTGGAAAAATTTCCAGGTTATACATTTAAATTGGAAAAATTTCCAGATTATACATTTAAATTGGAAAAATTTTTCAGGTTATACATTTAAATTGGAAAAATTTCCAGGTTATACATTTAAATTGGAAAAATTTCCAGGTTCTACATATAAATTGGAAAAATTTCCAGGTTATACATTTGAATTGGAAAAATTTCCAGGTTATACATTTAAATTGGAAAAATTTCCCATCTTTAAATTTTAATAATGTGAGAGTTTTTGATTGATTAAAATTGATCTGATGGTATATTGAATTCCGTAGATACCAGTTGATGTTCGACAAAAACAGTCAAACAAAACATTTTCTTTTCAATCTCAAATTATTATTCTGTATGTTTCATGAAAGAACAAAAAAAAAAGGCAGAAAACCTTTAAAATATATACTTTAATTAGAAAATTATTGAAATTCTCACAGAATTAAACAGAAACTAAGTTTGATCCTTATCGAAAATATCACTAGACAAATTTTGCTTGAACTAAAAAATCTTAAGAAATATTTATTCAAACTTAATTCACCTTAAGGATATGTATTCAAAATGTCTTCAAAATTTTTTTAGATATTCTAAAAAATCTTAAGATGTTTTAAGGTAACATTAACTCAGGAGACTGTCTTAAGATTTTCTTAAGACAAACTTAATTTACCTTAAAGATATTCAAAATGTCTGCATTCTTAAGAATTTCTTGAGAAAATTATATTTTCTTAAGAAAATCTTAAGATTATTTTTAGTGGGGTATAGGACAAAATTAACGGTCACCACCGTATAAGATTTGTAGATGTTTTTGTAATAGATATACATGTAGCCCTTTTTCCAGAATTAGTTTTCGTTACAAAATATGTCAATAATTTTTCTTTTATACTAAATAATAATTTTAATAGAAAAAAGATACAAAAAAGCAATGTTTAGTTTATAAGCAAAAACGGCTTTTTTAACACATCAAATTTCAATACTATAGTTGAATTTTGGCAGCTTGTAGAGTGGACCACATGGTATTTTTTACAAGTTTAATAGTTGATATTTCTAAACTAATTATCGAATTTTAAATTCTTTTTATTGTATCATAGTCACTAATGACTAGACATTTTTTTCTCTTGTGTTATTAGATATGCGAGTGACTTTCAATTCTAGAATTAGTTTCCTTTACTAAATATTTCAATAAGTTTTCTTTTGAATAATTTTAATACGAAACTGTAGGAAAAATCATTACATGATTACGTAAAAAAATATTTAGGTTTATATTTTACTTCGAATCGTACTTATAGGATTTATAGATGATTTTGTAATAGATATGCATGTAGCACTTTTTTGTAAAATTAGTTTTCATTACAAAATATTTCCCTAAGTTTTCTTTTATACTAAATAATAATTTTAATAGAAAACAACAGGAAAAAGTATTGTATGATTGCATAAAAAATATTTAGTTTTATGTTTTACTTCAAATCGTACTTATAGGATTTATACATGTTTTTGTAATATATGCACGGAGCACTTTTTTCTAGAATTAGTTTTCCTCACAAAATATTTCAATAAGTTTTCTTTTAAACTGAACGCTAATTATAATATTAAAAAAAACTACAAAAAATTATGTTAAGTTAATAAGCTAAAATGGCTACACATCAAATTTCATTACTTTAGTTGAATTTTGGCAGCTTGTAGAGTGGCCCACATTGTATTTTTTACAACAAGTTTAATAGTTTATAATTCTAAACTAATTATCGAATAGTAGTTTCTTTTTATTTCATCAGAGTCCCTAATGACACTGACTAATGACTAAATTTTTTTTCACTTTACCTGTGTAATTAGATATGCGCGTGACTTTTATTTTAGAATTAGTTTCCTTTACAAAATATTTCGATAAGTTTTCTTTCGTCCAAAATAAGAATTTTAATTAAAAACCATAGGAAAAATCATTACATAAAAAATAATATTTAGTTTTAAATATTACTAAGAATAGTACTTTTATGATTTATAGATGCTTTATGCACGTAGCATTTTTTTTCTCGAATTAATTTTCATTTCAAAATATTTCAACAAGTTTTCTTTTGCACTATGTGATAATTTTAATTTAAAAAAATACAAAAAAAAAACTTGTATTAAGTTTCTTTTTTTTTTTAATGAAACAAATCTATTTGATGGATTCACAACTGTAGAAAGTTCTTTCGTAACCATGGCAGACACATAATTATGTCTAATTTTGACAAATTTGGTTCAATTTTTAGATTAAAAAGCTTCGAAATTTATAACAAAAATAATGGTAATGTTATTTGAAAACTATTTAATTCACAAAAAAATTTGCGATTAAATATAATAAATAACACATAACGATTAAACAATGCGTAAAATGTCCTTGCGTATGATTTTTTAATTTTATTTTATAACCAGCGTTGTGAAGCCGACCCATTCTTGAATGTTCGCCTTTTAATGTTAAACTCCGAAGCTTTGAAATTTTGAACCCAAACCAGAAGACAAGGGAACTCTTGGATCAAGCATTGGGAGATATTTGCTTTCGAGGAGAACTTTTTAATGGAATTAACCCGCATTTGCGTTACATGGAATATCCACGATAACCACGAAAATATCCCACGATCGGCTCGACGACGAGGGGATTCTAACCCATGACCCTCTGAGGATATTTTACATTAAAACTGTTGTCGGTGGGAGACTGGAGCAGAATTCGTACTGGGATTCTAACCTTGGTCACCTCATTGGGAGGCGAGCACTCTATCCCCTGAACCATCCCAGCTCATGACGTACGTATTGTGATAAATTGTCAACAAATGACTTTGTGGCTCTATTCGTCGCAGAGTATGATGGATGTTGCGGCATTCCATAAAATGCCTAGTCTTATTAAGCTATCTATAGAAGTTATATCTGTATAGTCACCATTAGTCTATCTATAAAGACATATAAAGCTATCTATAGCATTCTGTAGAATGCCAGGAGTTCTCAGCCTGAGTATAAAATAAGAGAATCATTATATACTTTTCTTATTTGTTTAGAATATACAGTAGGGAACCGATTATCCGGAACGGTCTGGACCATCACTATTCCGGATAACTGATTTTTCCGGTTTTCTGAATCGCTACAAAAAGCCGTTTTTTTTATTGTTAAGCCCAACTAAAAAAAAAAAATTTGGAAATAATCTCAAAAATAAGAAAAAAACGATGAAGTAATACACTAATGATTATTTCCAAAATGATGGTAAGGTAATCTTTAAAAAAAGAAAGAAAAATCGTAAAATCTTATGAGGAAAAAAAAATTTAAAAAAAAAA